TCCAACTAAAGTTTTATTTGACAATATACATTCAATATGTGAGACATGTTATTCAGTTTCATTTTATACATATTGCAGTTTTATTTAAATACAATTAAGTATAATTTCAATTCAATTACAGTTTCATTTGATAATATAAACACAATATGCAATACAAGTTTTTTTTTTCAAACAATAAACATTATTAACACTGTGGTTTCATTTTTTTCCTGAACACAACACAAAAAATACGAAATTTAATAAAATTTAGCGACCACCGGTTCTTTACTTAAAGAAACGACGCCATTTTCGGATCATGGTCCACACAGCTCATGGCCCACCATATAACAACTGTTATACGTGAGTGTGAGGCTTACCTACTTTATACCTTATTGATTTTAAGTTTCCCTCATCATTCAAAAAAAAAAAAAAGAGAGATAAAGTTAGCTGTCAAAATTTTTAATCAAGATCTCTTTATATAACAATAAAATTATTTTTATTCATCAGTTAATATGAACTGTCCAATCCAAACCATCATTTAAAAAAATTCCACCTATTAATTATTTAAAAATCATATATTTCTAATTTGCTATATATGAGAAGGATTTTATTGTAAATTTTTAGTAGATTGATGTGGTCGAAATGCCCAATTTGTTTAAGCAAAAATTTATGTGAGATCGTCTCACAGATCTCAATTTCTGAGACGGATCGGATTTTTGATTAATGATGTCAAAGATCTGACACATTAATCAAATATTTAACCCGTCTCCCGGATTGAGACCCGTGAGATGGTCTCACACAAGTAATACATTTACATTTTGACGTAAAAGTATTACATTTTCCTTTATAAGTGCAACGTTACTTATAAGATAAAATATAATACTTTTGATGAAAAACGTAATACTTTTACATCAAAATATAAAAGTATTACATTTGTCCTCAAAAATATTATGTTTTCCTTATAAGTAACAAACATTTTATTCCTGATTTAGTATTACATTTTCTAGTATAAATATTAAATTTGTATATTGACTCAATCTGACCCGACTATCTCACAGATAAAAATTCGTGAGAAGATCTCACACAAGTGTGTCATTGATAAGGACGGTTTCACACATCCATCAAGTATCAAATCACAGTATAGAGTTTAGATATCATTCCACTGGAGATGGCTATTGTAATGTTAGGAATTGATGCAAAGTGGAGTTAATGACAAGCTAAAACTATCCTTATAGAAGCTAGGCCAATCGTTAAAGAGTTGGATTGATATGATTTAACAAATAACAAAATAGACAAGCAAAACAAATTTATATTTGAAAGTTAACCAATATTAAATAGATCTAATTGGCTATTTAGAATAATAGAATTAAAAGAGTTATCTAATGAAAATGAGTATTTTAAATTATGATAAGAAGTACGGAGTAATAGTAAAAAGTAGTATTATCATAGATAGTTATGAGGGAAAATAAAAATCAGATTATGATGATCATTGATGAGCCGATAAAAATTAGTATATTTATTAAATAGATAATACTCAAAATAATCACCCAATTATCTCATAATTCTCAATTTGATCTTCACCTACTAATTTATCCAAACTGATTCCTCAACTATGCAAAAATTTACTCAGTTTAGTCCTCCATATAAGATGGAGGAATTGAATAAAATGAGTCAAATTTTGCATAGTTAGGGACTATTTTGTGTAAATTAATAATCGATGACTAATTATTTAAAAATTATGACATAAGCCTTGTTTGGTAAATGGTGAGTCCACCATAAATTTGATGGGCCCACCATTTTCAAGATCTTTACTACGTCAAAAAATTTGTTTGGTAACTCAACACGATTAGAGGCAAGGGATAGCATCAACATAATTGGGAATAGTGAGAGGCTGCCGGTCGGCCGGAAAATGATGGATTGATCTGAAGTAGTGTATAGTATGAAGTCTACGAAATGATTCTTATTTATAGTGAAGAAATCCTAGTCCATCTTTAATGCCTATTATGGAAATTTCTCTGATTATATTACACCCTTAATTCTTTTCCAAATTGGGAACAAATAACATTTATGTTTTTTCCTTTTTTTCAATATATCCAGTTGATATGATGAAAATGGATAAAATTTATCTTACTGGTCTATCAATTATTACACGGTAAATTATGTCGTGAGCACGTGCCCACCATGCACATGGTGCGCACGAATCTATATCCATAATCTCTATACTGTAGATCCATAATTTCTAGTATCTGGAGCAAAAATTTATATTTTAGATTTCAATTGTTGAACCATGTTTTCACAAATCAGTGCAGTATAGAAATTATAGATCTACTGTATAGAAATTATGGATCTACTGTATTTAAATTATGGATCCTAAGGTTTTAGAAATTATGAATCAAAAGTATAAATTTTAGCTCACCGAGAGTCTAGAAATTATGGATCTATAGTATAAAAATTATGGCTAAGATTCGTACGCACCATGCAAGGTGGGCACGTGCTCACAACATAACGCACGGGGGAAAATTTTATTGTGGACCATGGTCTAAAACGGTATCGTTTCTTTTAATGGAAAGAAACGGCGGCACCTGTTCCATATAATTAGTTCTGTTTATATAATATATTCAGTTTCATTTTATATACATTGTAGCTAGCTTCTTTATTTCAGCACAACTAAAATTTTATTTTGTTTCACCTATAGTTTTATTATTTGACATTATACATACAATAGTATTATTAGAGTGAGACCTCTTATTGAATTTCATTTTATACACACTGTAGTCTTATTATAACAGCACTAAATTATAATTCTAATTCAACTACGGTTTTATTGGACAATACACACTCAAATATGTGAGACATTTTATTCAGTTTCTTTTTTTTATACATATTGCAGTTTTATTTTAGCAAAACTAAAGTATCATTTTTTTTTTTGAAAACTAAAGTATCATTTAATCCAACTAAAGTTTTATTTGACAATATGCATTCAATATGTGAGACATGTTATTCACTTTCATTTTATACATATTGCAGTTTTATTTAAATACAATTAAAGTATAATTTCAATTCAATTACAGTTTCATTTGATCATATAAACACAATATGCAATACAAGATATTTAGTTTCATTTTAGATACACTGTGATTTCATTTTTTTCTGAACACAACACAAAAAATACGGAATTTATTAAAATTTAGCGGCCGCCGATTCTTTACTTAAAGAAACGGCGCCATTTTCGGACCATGGTCCACACAGCTCATGGCCCACCATATAACAACTATTATACATGAGGGTGAGGCTTACCTACTTTATACCGTAGTGATTTTAAGTTTCCCTCATCATTCAAAAAAAAAAAAAAAAAAAGATAAAGTTAGCTGTCAAAATTTTACTTATTAATTATTTTTTTTTTGAAAGTTACTGGCTCTATTACATTGTAGTATCTGTTCATATACTTTCTCAACCTACTGAAACACAAAATACCAATAACGCCTCCACTAAGGCTCGAACTCATAATCTTCCAAATGGAAGTCCAACCCGGGTACCATTGGACCACATAGTCCTGGTCACTTATTAATTATTTAAAAATTATATATTGCTAATTTGCTATATATGAGAAGGATTTTAGTGTAAAATTTTAGTAGATTGATGTGGCCGAAATGCCCAATTTGTTTAAGCAAAAATTTGTGTGAGACCGTCTCACGGGTCTCAATTCGTAAGACGGGTCGGATCTTTGATTAATGATGTCAAAGATCTGACACATTAATCATATATCCAACCCGTCTCACTGATTAAGACCCGTGAGACGGTCTCACACAAGTGTTACCCATTTGTTTATTGTAGGAGGGGTTGAAATGCAAGACATTCTAGAATTTTCCTAATTTATGCATTTATTTTTCTATGTTAAAAAAAAAAAAGTCAAATTTCATGTGTACAATTATATATATGACAAAAACTTTTGTGAAAGGATCTGTGAGATGAGTTGGGTCAATATAAAATGTAATACTTATATTAGCAAATGTAATACTAAACTAGGAATGTTTATTACTTATATGGGAAAATGTACGAGGATAAAATGTAATACTTTTACATTTTGACGTAAAAGTATTACATTTTCCTTTATAAGTGCAACATTACTTATAAGATAAAATATAATCTTTTTGATGAAAAAAGTAATACTTTTACATCAAAATATAAAAGTATTACATTTATTCTAAAAAATATTATGTTTCCCTAATTCCCCTTGTAACCTTGTTGACTTTGAAACTCGAGAGGTGACCCTCTAGCAACACTCGTAGGATTAGCAGCCCCTGATGGGTTGCTCCAAGAAAAATCAGGATGAGTATTGCCTTGATTTTGATGTTGGAACCCTCTTTGATATTGCCCCGAATATCTCCCCTAACCAATATGATCAACATGCTCCATAATCATACCAGGTGAACCTTGCGAGCTTTGTGAACCGGTCTCAAGAATATAGCAATCAACTGAAGACCACCACCACATATCTCACAACAAATAGAAGAAGCATAAATGGGATAAGGGGTTACGGGTGACGGTGTAGATGTAGAAACTGGCACATGAGTAGGAACCGGATGAATATGTAACATTTTCCATTATGTCACCATTAAGTGGTGTAAGTTAATAGGCCATTTATGGTCATTATGATGTGGTTTGAAACGGAAGTAACGGTTTCCAGATTGGAAAAGGCTTTCTTTAACTAATCGTAACATTAGGATTACAGAGTATATCTAACTCTAACTAATCCTAACAAATAGATATACCAAGTCAAACTATCTAAGCCACAAAATATAACTATACAAAAGAAATAATAATAATAATAATAACACCTTATACTAACACACCCCCTCAAGCACAAGGTTGGAGGGCGACACCATTGAGCTTGTCACGCATGGCAGCAAACCGTGGTGCAGGTAACAGTTTCGTGAAGATATCTGCAAGCTGATCTGTCGTAGAAACATAATTGACGAGGAAGTCACCCGAAGCGACCTTGTCACGAAGAAAGTGATAGTCTATCTCCAATGTTTTGTACGTGCATGGAAAACCGGATTGGCACACAGATACGTAGCCCTTAGATTATCACACCAGAGCGTTGCAGGTTTCCCAGAGTGTAACCCAAGCTCTCGTAGTAACGAAACGACCCAAGTAACCTCAGCGGAGACATCAGCTAAGGCCTTGTACTCAGCCTCAGTGGAGGACCTAGCCACAGTGCGCTGCTTCTTCGAGAGCCAGGAGATTAAATTGTCACCTAAGTAGACGGCAAATCCACTCGTGCTTTTCCTATCTACAGGACAACCAGCCCAGTCACAAAGACGGTTGACTGCATAACTCAAATCCGGCCTCGTAAAGGTTAAGTACTGCAAAGCCCCTACAATGCGCCGATACTGAGTCGAATTATCATAGAGCTGAGCGGAAGGTACAGTGGCCTTTGTGACAGCTGCTGGCGTAGTAAGATGTTTGCAGTCGGCCATACCTGAACGGCCCAATAGATCAGTCATATAGCGTCGCTGCGACAAAAACATGCCACTAGTAGAGGACACGGCCTCGATACCCAAGAAGAAACCTGGTGAACCTAGATCCGGAATCTTGAAGGTAGAAGCAAGTCACTGTAGGATAGTGTCTACAAGTGTACCGTCGTTTCCCATCATAATTATATCATCGACATAGACTAGAAGATATACACGAGCGATGCCTGAAGTGTAATAGAACAAGGACACATCCGTCTTCGACGACTTAAACCCTGCTGTCAACAGAAAGTCGTGAAGCCGCTTAAACCAGGCACGAGGAGCCTGTTTGAGACCATACAAAGACCGCTGTAAATGACAAACATGTCCTGGTGTGGACGGGTCTTCATACCCCGGTGGTTGCTTCATGTACACTGTTTCTGCTAAATGACCGTTCAGAAAAGCGTTGTGAACGTCCAGTTGCCGGAGAGTCCACTTATTGGTTACGGCTAAAGAAAACAAGAGTCGTACCGTGGTTGGTTTAACAACCGGACTGAACGTATCAAAGAAATCTTCCCCTGCAACCTAATTGAGCCCTTTAGCTACCAACCGAGCCTTGTACCGTTCTACTGACCCATCTGCAGTGCGCTTCGTTCGGAATACCCACTTGCACCCGATTATATTCATGTGTAGCTCCGGAGGGACCAGACGCCAGGTTTGATTATGTAATAAGGCATTGAACTCTTGATCCATGGCTTCACGCCAGTGGGGGTGCCCCACAGCTTGTGAGTAACAAGTGGGATCAGCAACCGCTGTCAAGGCATGAAAGGGCTCAGACGTGCCTTTGGTCATGTGACGGAGGCGCATAACATGATCACGGCCTTGCGGTTGTGCACGCCGTTTGCGTGTCCTTACCGGAGCGGTCTGTGTGATAGCCAACTTAGGAGGAGCCCTCGCTAGTGGTGTAGGTTCACTTTCAGAGTGCACATTATTAGCTGGTACAGTGGGGCTACCACTCGGTGCCGGTAGACATAAGGGCACTATCGCCCAAGGGACAGCCGAAGGTGTAGACACTTGTGTATAGTCCCCTACTGCAAAAGGAAAATTAGACTCGTCAAAGCGTACATGGTGACAAGTCAACACATCTGTATCCTCTAAAGGAGGGTGGGTAACCTAAGAAGACGCAAGGAATTGAGCGATACTCAATTTTGTGTCGATTGTACGGACGGAGATATGGGTAGCACCGACACCCAAAGACACGGAGGAAATTATAGGGTGGTGGGACTTTGAATAAACGGGTGTAGGGACTTTCATAATTAATTGCTGATGATGGTAAGTAGTTGATTAAGCATGTTGCTGTTTCAAAATCGTAGTCCCAATATTGTTGCGGGACTTTGCCTTCAGCAAGTAGGGTGAGGCCTGTTTCAACTACATGCCTGTTACGGCGCTCGACTTTGCCATTTTGTTCATGTGTATAGGCATATGATTGGCGATGATTTATACCTAAAGATTGAAAAATTGTGTGGAGATTACGGTATTCACCCCCTAGATCGAACTGAATAGACTTGATAGAGCGCGAACACTACCGCTCTACCAAAACACGAAACGACTCAAACACTTTATATATATCTGATTTCACCCTTAATGGGTAAAACCAGTAGAATCTGGAATAGTCGTCTACAAATAAACAAAAGTAACGATTGCCACTACTAGATAGTTCAGGGGAGGGACCCCAAATATCGGTAAAAGTTAAATCTAGTACATTTTCACTAGAATGAGAAATACTATCTAGTTTAAACCGAGACGACTTGCCCAGGTGACACGATGCACACGATTCAGGGGTGGTGTTTTTATTGACCGTGACGGGACAGCTTTTCAGGACTTTATTTAATACTTGACTGTGCGGGTGACCAAGCCTGTTATGCCAAATGGTGGGAGTGGCACGGGAACTGATGAACGCGTATTGTGACCGTAACAATGGAAACTTGTACAACTCGCCAGAAGTAGATCCCTTAAGTAGAACCGCCTTGGTTGTGGAATCCTTCACAAAAAAAGAATAGTTATGAAATTCAAAAAACACTTTGTTGTCATTAGTAAACTTATGAACGGACAACAATGGAACTGACAAACACGGGACATGTAACACATCATTTAAATGGAGATTTTTAGATTTGGACGGAATAGACGTGTGACCGACTCTCGAGATAGCCAAACCTGCCCCATTGCCGACACGAAGCACGTCCGGCCCACCATATTCCTCGAAATTACCCATCATCGACGCATCGGGAGTGGCATGTGCAGTAGCCCCCGGTGTCGGGATACCACCCATCTGGAGCATGCGATGCCGAGGATGACGGCGCGTCACCGGACACGGCCATGTGAGCCTGAGCAGGCGGTTGCATGGAATGCCGCTTATAGCAATACACGGTCGTGTGGCCGTGTGACCCGCAAATTTGACACCGCTGATTCCCACGGCTACCACGTCCGCCACCGCGGTTCTGATTGTGACCGCCGTTGCCGCTCGAATTTCGCCCGCCACCCCGGTTTTGGTTCCGACCGCCGCTGCTATTATGAGAGCCGCGCCCATATCCGGCATACATAGCAGTGTGCACCGCACCACCATCCAGCCATGGATAATCATCCACCAATATAAATTCGTGTTCCTGTAAATAGTCAGATAAATGAGACAATGTCACCGGATTCCCGGTAGCAGTCAGTGCGGTAGCTAAGGACTTGAGCTCCGGACGTAGACCGCGGATGATATAGAGATTATGCTCCATTAACGTCAGCAGCCGGCCGGCCTGGATCAACGACTCCACCAGAACGCCGGCACGCCCCAGGTAATCTCCGGTGGACGAGTTGCCCTGCCTGAGCATCTGGAATTGCGACAGCAGATTCAGGCATCTCGCCTGGCTTGAGGACCCCAGCGCGCCGGTAATGGATGTCCATATCTCGGCTGACGTACTCCTCCTGAGTGCAAGATAGAGTGTTTCATCCGCCATAGACGAGACCAGTAGGGAGACGATGGTCTCGTCCTGCTTCACCCAGGCTTTGAAAGCCGGATTCGGAGTGTCGGACTGCACGGCTGCGCTTGACGAGGCGTCATCGTTGGCCGGTGTACCGGCGATCAACTCCAGTGGACAGGGAAGGCTGCCATCAACGAAGCTAAGGAGCTCCTGGCCACGGAGGAAGGAGACGATCTGCATGCGCCAAAAGAGGTAGTTCTCCAGCGTGAGCTTCATTGTGACGTAATGGTGAGCACCGGCGAGGGAACCACCGGCTGCCGGAGCTGCACCATCGGACGCCGTACGATCGGAACCGGTGGAAGACATGGGTGATTTTGAGTGCGGGAAGGAAGGGGGAAAAATTGCGGTGGAGGTTTGAGAGAGATCGAAAACCCAGTCTGATACTAGATTGGAAAAGGCTTTCGTTAACTAATCGTAACATCAGGATTACAGAGTATATCTTGTTGGAATTTTTAACTAAAAATGACATTTTGAGTGATTATTTTGTGGTACAATTATATGTGGGGTGGGTCCACTTCCGATTTGGGTCGTGTCAAAGTGGATTCGGGTTCTTCATAGTGAGACGAAGAATTTGATATAATGTACGCTCAAAATGGATAATAGGTGAATTAGAAATTGATTCTCAAAGTGAACCTATTTGAGAGAAGTCAACAACTTAAACCTAGTGTTTAGTGGCTAATTAAGATTAGCACTAATCTTGATGCTAATTACTTAGCATTCACGAAAGAATGCTTGTAATTAAGCTTTGGAAAAAGGTTAAGTTGCAATTAAGCTTTTGAAAGCTTGATTAGTGAATTGAGAAATGAACTTTCGTGCTATGCTTTGTGCATGGACGAAAGTTGTGCATGAATTGAGCTTAAGCTTTGGATTCCAAAGTAGCTCATTTCGTGCTGTGGATTCAGTGTGCACGAATCAAATACTATATGCATTGATTCGTGCTGCACCGTTTCGGTGCTTGCGGACCACTCGGGTGTGGTTTCCGGTCCCAATTCGTTAAACCTTCGGGTTTGTACGGACTTCTCGGTCACTTAGATATTTTGAAACGGGTCGTTGTGATCGGTACGAATTAATCGCGTATTAAGTTCGTGGCCGTTGGAATTATTACGATAATAATTACGACCGTTTCAAACGTTATTATCCAATTATTAAATCTTGGATTTATGTTGGTTAATGGCCATTATAATGCTACTAAATTTCTCTATCCCTACAAATACTAGTTGTTGGCAGAATGGTTTAAAAAAAACTCATGCTTTTGAACCTCTCAAAATTCCTCTTTTTTATTTCCTCTCTACTCTCAACTATTGTTTTGCTACGAAGGAAAAATTCTGCCAACAATTCCGTAAAACATCGGAGTGCTCAACTTGTGTTCTAGTTCGCCGGGCTGTGGGTTGGAGTGCTCGAACGCCAAAGTCGTAGTCCGTTTTATCCTGGGAGACTAACGCCACAACGATCCTAGCACCCTCGGGAGGTGGCAAATCGGTTTAAAGGAGAGTGTGTGTACACACAACTCGGACTTCTCCTTCTTCTTCTTCTTCTTCTTCTTCACGTTCGGTTAAACCTCAGGTTAGAAACCCGTTCTTGTTTTTATTTTGTTCTTGGTTTCGGACCAAGTGATGGGATTAATCTCAGAAAGATTAAATCCTTGTACTAGTTTCGTACTAGTTGTGGTGGGATTAGTTTCGTGGAAATTAAGTCCCGTGTACTAGTTTCGTACTAGTTGTAGTGGGATTATTTTGATAAAATAAATCCCTAGTTGGTTAATATATATACGAGGTATATATATATATATATATATATATATATATATATATATATATATATATATATATATATATATATATATATATATATATGTAATTTTGGTTTCGTACCAAAATTGGTTGGAATTAATTTTTCTATAAATTAAATTCCATTTTTTGGGACAAATATATATTATATATATATATATTTTGTGTATCGATTTATTCACCATATCCAACATATCTAACTCTAACTAATCCTAACAAATAAATATACCAAGTCAAACTATCTAAGCCACAAGATATAACTATACAAAAGAAATAATAATAATAATAATAATAATAATAATAATAATAATAATAATAATAATAACACCTTATACTAACATTCCGTTACTTAACGTATATTTCACGTAGGTTATATATATGTTTGGTCCTCCCACTGCTCCTGTGATTTTGTGACTACATCATCTATATTGTCCGGAGACCAAGTGGGAGACGTCGTTACTCTGCAGAAATTGCTACTACGATTATTCACAAAGCAATACACAAACGTATCGACTATGGTTGGAGTTTTGCTCGATTCCTATGCTTCCGCTATGAGGTTAGATCATTACAATTATTATGATTGTATAATTATTCTAACATTTGGTATCAGAGCCTG